GGAAACCCAAGGAGGGGTCGCTGTGAGTTGGATCCAACTTGATGGCAGTGAGTTTGGTTTTTTGGTTTTAGTCTAAGAATTTAGTTCACCAGTTGCCTTAGGGCTCAATCCCCATGTCTGGCTTATAGCAAGTATATTGAACAGAGCAAGTGTAGAACTTTCATCACCACAGAAAGTTCCATTGGACAATGCTGGGCTAGAGTAGCACTGTCCAATAAAAATGCAATGAGAGCCTCATTTGAAAAGTCAAAAGAAAAACATTCTTTTTTTTAATTTAATTTATTGTGATTTGGGTGAAAGTTTACAGAGCAAATTCCCTTTCACTGTGCCTCATGAAGAGGGAAGAAACTCACTTTAATTGATGTATTTCATTTAAACCAGTACAGGTTCTCCTTGACTTATGACGAGGTTCCATTCTGACAACTCTGTCGTAAGTTGGTTCTGACATAAGTCAAATACTACTAGTATATTATTTTTTTAGTTTTCCTTATTTTTTGCCTTCTATTATCAGTATCTTTGTAATCTGATCTTTGACCATCTGTGAGTGAACATCTGAGAACGATAAGATCAACAGATTACGTGCATTGTATTATTAACACTAAGATGTACCAAAAAACCACTGATGATTGTCATAACTTGAATACCTCGTAAGTCAGAGACTACCTGTAATTGTTGACCATTTGGTCACATACAGGTGATTTTTTTAAAGGAGCCCAGTATTTATGGGTAATGTTACTTTATGAGCCAATCTCTTGCTACAGGGTAACCTCAGGTTAGTTTTGGTTAGAAATTTGAAGTGTCACAGGTCAATAATCTTAGAGAGTTCCCCAGTCTCAACCAGTCCAGTCTGTCTTATTTTTTTATTTTGCTTTTCAGGAACTTGAGGTTCTGTTCCACATTTTTCTTCCATTCTGTCAGGTTCCATCTATTACTGTGGCCATAATTAGAATGGTTAATTGTAGTAGCTGGCCACCATCTAGTTCCAGTTTCAGGGTAGCTGAGGCCGTGGTTAGTGCAGACTGTTTGTCCTATAGAGTTGGTTCTTCTTTGAGTCTTTAGTTTCCTCCTTTCTCTTTTATTCTGGATGCATAGAGACCAATGGATGTATGTGCAAGGTTTTAAGACCCCAGACACTAGTCATCAAACAAGAATGTAAACCATCACTTTATGAACTATATTATGCCAATTGACTGAGATGTTCCACAAGACTCTGCATGCCTTGATTTTTAATAGCTGCATGGTATTAGATCAGATGGCTGTACCGTCACTGCCTTAACCATTCTCTAGTGTATGTCACCATTTTCAGCTTTTCGTTTTCCTAGAATCCTTTGAAGTCTAATTTCAGAGGGTCTGGGGAGCAGTGAGAGGGTTGCCCTTTTGTGCAAGGGCACACGCGGACCTGTCTGAATGAGATGATCTGTCTGTCTAGCCCTGTGATGGCTGCACAATTTTCGGACAATCTGCTTCGGCCCTTCCTCATCCACATCATGTCCGTACCAGCCCTGGTGACTCACCTCAGCACTCTGACCCCTGAGGTAAGTGGGCTTTGCAAACTCTTCACCCCGAAAATCAATTCCTTTCACTTTTCTTCTTCAGAGTTAGTAAAATGTTTTCTGTGCTAATTTCCACCCTTTACCCTGATTTTACCTCCAAACTATAGACACACTTGTGTTCTCCACCCAAAGAAACATGACCTTCTCTTGATGTAGAGTAGCCCTTAGACATCCCAGTGCGTGATCGGCAGGTGATTGATTTCACGATTTAGTGGGGAATTCTTCATGCCCAGCTTCTGCCTTAACTGTCTGCAATTGTCCGCAGCGTCTCGCTGTTTTAGAATCTCATGACATGCTTCGTAAATTCATCATATTTTTAAGAGATGAAGATCGATGCAGCGATGTATGTGAATGTTTAGAAGGATGCCATACCCTTTGCCTAATGGGTGAGTTTCCATGACTGGAGTTGGATTGCACTTGAGGGGTCAGAAAGGCCTGCATGTTAAGCTTTCCCCCTTTATAGAGGTCATGAGCTACTTTTGGTAACAATTAGAAGTGCTCACAGTAAAAGACACATGCTCAGTTAAACAGTGCAAACAGACACAAAGTTAAAATCGCAGGGGAAATATGCCAACCTAGCAAGCTAGTTGAGTGACTGGAAATGAGCATTAAATGCCATCCCTCGTCGTCCTGGCAGCCAAGGAAAAAAGGGAAATGTGATGAGTTGCCTGGATAGTTCTCAACTCAGGAGACAAGAGGTCAATGGAAGCAGTTAGAAGAAACTTGGACCAGGGTAGAACACTTGGATCACCTGGTCTACAAATAAGCTTTTGTATGAAGAAAAGGTTTGTGACTAAAGGTATTTAAGAACAGCCAAGGTACATAATTCTCACTGCCTTACAGAAATTTACTTTGTGCAGAAAAAATGTCCATGAGGTAAATTTTAAGGGGAATTTACTGGGGGACACCTCACACGAGGGATTTTAAGTAACTTTGGTGAACACTGAACAACAGTGATTTCCCAGGACATCCAGGTACACTTGGAAAGGTCATTTCTTAAGTTGACCCCTGGTTTTGAAATGGTAGTGTGATATTAAAATACAATAATAGCTCAGTGTATCCCACAGCACAGTGTAGCTGACAGCATGTGTTTCTTCATATACTCCTCACATTGAGAGAGGGGTCATTATTCTACTCTTAGAGATGAAGAAATGGATTTGAGAGGTGAGGTATGAGTCATGCAACTCACCTGTGGTGGAACCAGGATTTGAACCCAGGTCAGCCTATTTCTGAAGCCCACAGTCTTACCCCTACACCACACTGCAGCCCACAGCACAGCCCCCAGGTCCCTATCCACTTGGAATTTCTTCTTGCACATAGATGCAGCTGCCTGAGCCAGAGTCAGAGAGCAGGGCTACGAGGCACCAAAGTTGGCTGGTGGGGCGGGCCTGCCTCACAAGCCTTCTCTCTTTGTAGGCAACCTCCTCCAGTTGGGCTCCTTCAGTCCCCGAGTGTTAGAGGAGGAGATGGATGGGTTTGTGAGCATGCTCACTCAAATGCTGTGCTACTGTCAGAAGTATGTGTCACAAAAGAAATCCAACCTGACCCACTGGCACCCTGTCCTGGGCTGGTTCTCCCAATCCGTGGATTATGGGTGAGTCCTGGAGGCAAATCAGTGTCCCTCCTGTCCCTCTCGCCTTCTTTCTTATATCCTTCCTTCCAACAGTTACTGTTTTATTTCTTATTACAGAAGTAACATATAGTCATTGTATAAAATACAGATGAGACCAAAGAGAATAAAAACCATCCCTTAATCTTACTACCCAAAGGCAAACTAGGTGGGCATTCTTTCAGTTTTTTTTCTATCTGTACTGTATTTCTCAACATAAAATGTGCCCACATGAATTACGCACATAAGCATATAACACACATAGGAAACTAACATGCAAGGAGGTTGTGCCATCTAAAAGAACTGTAGAAGGCACGTGTAATTTAATTATAAGCTTTATTGATTGATGTTACCTTTTTTTTTTCAGTATAACCTTTATTGATTGCTTAGACTGCCATATTTTTTTTAAATGATAGGTTATTAAACAGCCACATGAGACCAAAAGGGTAGCATTTGCCCAGAAACAAAGCTTATAAGGCAGAAAGAGGCAAGAAAGAAGGACAAATAGAAATAGGGAACTCAGGGAAGCAGTGGGAAGAGTGCCACTACATTAGGGGAATTGCAACCAGTGTCACAAAGCAAGATGTGTATACATTATTGAATGAAAGGCTAATTCGCTCTGCATACTCACCCAAACTATAATAAAAAGCTCAAAAATATTTTACTGTTTTCAGTGAAGGTTTACACAACAGTTGACTTCCCCATTCAACAGTTTGTGCACAGGCTGTTCAATGACACAGATCACATCCTTCATGATGCACGAACATTCTCATTTGCATTCTAGTTGTTTCATTTCCATTAATCTAGTTTCTCTGCCCCCTTACATTCCCTTTTTCGTTTTAAAGTTATGTTGACCGTTTGGTTAGTCTGGCATATTTTGGCTGTAACTAAAACAAGACAAAGGGACTCAAAGGGAACAGACAGCACCCCAGATCTTTTTCAAAAGTGGGGTATAAATTTTTTTTGGTAATTAAGAAATAAAGATGTAAAATACTAGGCTAAAAGAATAAAAATTAAGTAAGGCTCCCTCATGAATTTGAAGAACCTGGGCTGAGATAAGAGCTTGTGCAGAAGCAGCTCTGCCTGCCCAGCTGTTTACCTGCTCAGATTCCTGCCCGAGGCACGAGGCCCACGGCAGGTGCTCTGGGAGCAACAAACGAAGGGCAAGTGAATGAAATCCCGACTGTGCTTCCTTCCCCTTGTACCTGAGTGGACATCCTTGTCTCTCCAGTTGCCCCAGCCTGAAGAGCAGGGAGTTGTGTGCAGTGAGTCAGAAGAGACGTCCTGGGAGGTGGAGGTGGGGCAGATGGCACAGTAGTGACCCGCACAGCTGCCAGCACTGCGCCTTCTTCTCTGAGGGACCTTGTACAAGTCCCCTTACCTCTGAGAGCCTCAATTTCCTCATCTGAAATATGGGGATAATTCTCACAGTCCCTTTCACAGGGCCGTTTCAGGGGGTCCCATGAGAAAACACGTGCACAGGGCTTACTGCCAGGCCTGGGCCGTGTTCAGCGGCAGGTGGTGTTATACTATGATGAGTGATGCTGGAAGACCCACAAAACTGGGGAGAACGGGAGGCATGATAGGATCGTGAGCAAGGAGGTGCTGAAGGCAGAATTTCTGGGTGTCTGATACCGAGGGTATGGAATGTAGGGAGAGAGGTGAACCTGAGGGCAAGGAAGCACTTAGGAGGCTGTCACGTTATCTGGGTTTCTGGGCCAGGCCTGAGGGCTAGCTGTGGGGAGGAAGCCCAGGCAGCAGCGTGAGCTAGCTCTTGTCTGTTGATGGGCAGATTCTGAGGCTGTCTCAGACGGGACTGCTGAGCGGGCTGGGGGCGGCAGCGCTGCTGTCATCAGCACAGGAAGTTTGGGTGGAGCAGCAGAGAAAATGAAGACATCAGTGTCTGCATGTCCCAGGCCTTCCGTGACGATTTCTCTATTCTTTGTGTTTAGATGTATTTGATTTGCCTTGTTGAGTGCCAGGACCTAGCTGACCCGCCCTCCACGTGGAGTGGGCTCTCCCTGGCCATCCCTCCGGTGGCACTGACATGCCTCATCCCTTCCCGCTCTCTCCTAGCCTCAACAAGTCAATGCCCTTGATCATCAAACAGCTGCAGTTCCTGTGGGGAGTACCTCTCATCCGCATCTTCTTTAGTGACATCCTGAGCAAGAAACTGCTGGAGAGCCAAGAGACGGCCCAGGTGCAGCCAGCGTCCCCCCAGAACGTGCTTCCAGTGAAGAGTGAGTGCTGGAGGGGCCTGGACGCAGCCCTTGACTGTCCCCACATGCATGCTTCACTTCGTGTGGAACTGTGACTTCTTCCACAAACATTTTGAGACTACTTAAGTCAAGCTTACGTTTAGCGAAACAATGACAGAAAATGAACAGGAATAGAAATAGGAGTAGAAAACAAGGGCCAACCAAAAACACTAAACCCATTGTCACTGAGTCAGTTTTAATTCGTGACTCCCCCTGTAGAGTGGAAATGCTCCATAAAGTTTTCTTAACTGTAATCTTTATGGAAGCTGTTTGCCAGGCCCGTCTTCTGCCAAGCCACTGGGTAGGTTTGAACTGCCGACCTCTAGGTGAGCAGCCAATCCCAAACTGCTTATGCCACCCAGGGACCTTAAACAAATGCCAGGGAAATATAAATAGGTGAACAAAATCAAGATCATATATATAGAAGGCTATCCACAGATGTGTGCCCTGTGAGTGTCACTGTGGCTGTCTCTGTACTTCAAGTTTGGCTCTGAATTTTCTTGTAGCCAGAGTGAAAAGAGAATTATAGACCCTCTCTTACATCTCATTAACAGGAAAAAGAAAATGGTTTTCCATGGAAGTAGAGCTTTCCTGTGTTCTTAATCATAAAATCAACCTCCCATGTAGGGCTTATTATAAGGGGGACAGTGAGTCACATGGCAACAAGTCTATGTTTACTTCATAAACATTCTGCTGTAGGATCAGTACTGGGTTCTGTGGGACGGTTTCTTGTTGCCTATTCTAATGAAAGCTAAGGAAAGACCTTGAACCCATAATTTAGTAGAGTTACTTGTCTGTGTGTTTCAGAGTAGCTTTTTTTTTTTTAGTCATTCAGTGTTTGCAAAGCTGTCTTGTCTCGGTCGGTGTGAGTGGCTCAGTGATTGTAACCTCAAAGCAAACCAAACCAAACCAAACCAAACCAAACCACCATTGAGTCTATCCCAACTCATAGCAATGCTATGGGACAGAGTAGAGCTGCCCCTAGAGGGTTTCCAAGGCTGTCAATCTACAAAAGCAGACCACCTCATCTTTGTCCCATGGAGCGGCTAGTGGATTCGAACTGCCAGCATTTAGGTTAGCCCAGTGCTTTAACCACTTTGCTACCAGAGCTCCTTGAATGTAACCTCAACAGGATCTAAACAGGAAGGTTTAAGATGAGTAGAACCAAAAGAAGTGCTCTTAGTTAAGTTTATCAGCATTTAAAGTCAAATGACCTCCTTCCCTGTAAAAGCACAGGAAATTGACAATCCACCAGGTTCCCCCACCTTTGCTTCTCTTCCCTTAATATGTTGTTGCTGTCAAGTCAATTCTGACTCATGGCGACCCGCAGTGTACAGAATAGAGCTATTGTTTAGGGATTTTAAGGCTGTGACCTTCTGGAAGCACATTGCCAGGCCTTCCCATGCACCTCCGGGGGGAGGCTTTGAACTCCAGCCTTTGCAGCTGCTAGTCCAACGCAACCGTTTGTGCCACCCAAGGACTCCTTTCCCTTAAGAGTCCTCTGAATTTTTACCTCTGCAAGCTGTGAAGTTAAGTGATACAGTAAAAGAATCTCATGTAAGAATTGAACATGCCTAGCTTGTCCTGGGGAGCTCTGGTAGCATAGTGCCTAAGGCTGTTCAAACCCACCAGCCACTCCTTGGAAGGAAGGTTGGGCAATCTACTTCAGTAGTGATACCACCTCGGAAACCCAAGGAGGGGTCTCTATGAGTTGGGTGCGACTTGACGGCACATAGCAACAACAACAACTTGTCCCGAGAAATTTTCCAAGATTCTGAAGAAGTCTGTTGTGTTTCACCTCAGAAACTATTTTTAATGTGTATCTAATTTATTTCAAAGAGACAACTTAAATCAAAGCTGCAGCCCCACCGTCTGGCTCTGGCTGTGACTGAGGAGCTTCCAGGAAGTGCTCTTCCTTTCACAGGGTGGGATTGGCAGGTCCCGAGCTGCCCTTGCTCATACATTTCTCCTCTCTGTGCCAGATCTCCTAAAGCGTGCATTTCAGAAGTCAGCATCAGTTCGGAATATTCTCCGGCCTGTTGGGGGTAAACGTGTTGACTCTGCGGAAGTACAGAAGGTTTGCAACATCTGCGTCCTCTACCAGACCTCGCTGACAACCCTCACCCAGATCCGGCTGCAGATCCTCACAGGTCTGCATCCCTCAGCACCTTCCTCCATCTCAGACCAAGCTGTCCTTAGAAAAAGTTGGTTATCTCCTAACTTCCTCAAGTCAGAAAATAGACTTTGAAGGAGAATTCTTTTTTTTATTTATTTAATTTTTATTGTGATTTGGGTGAAAGTTTACAGAGCAAATTCATTTTCTGTACAGCAGTTCATACACATTTTGTTTCATTACTTTGACTGCACTCTCCACAATGTAACAGCTCTCTTCCCACTTCTTCCACGGAGTTATCTCTTCCCTGCGTCCTTCTCTCCTATGCATTCTTGGCCCTCAGCTATCTCCCTATGCACATACTGCCCTTTTATTCTCCCATGATTGATAGCTCTGAGGAGTGTATCTACCTGATACAAATGTTCACCCCATATGCTTGTCTATTATTTAGCTGGAAGCCACCAGAGTGAGTTGGGTTCCAGACCTGAAGGGTAACTAAGGTTTGTAGTCTTGGGAGCAGGAGGGTCTCACCAGGCTCTCTCAGACCAGTAAGCTTGGTCTTTTTTATGATTTGGAAAGTCTTGCTTTTTAAAGACTCTTTATAACCACATCCCTAACCTTGAAAACGTGAGGTGAGACCACTGGGGATAAGACAGGGTGATTCCATGGCGTTACATTTTTCTGCCTCCTTACCAATTCTGTCTGTGTGCCCTGTAACATCCATTAGTGGGCTAAGGGAGATTATCTTTGAGTAATTCAGAGAATGCCCTATGAAATTAGAGGAATTATAAAGACTGAAATATAAGGTGACTCCCATTTCTCTGAGGAATACTTTGGGGTACATACCTCACCGTACAACAGTGATGGTGGCCTGTGTTGGAGGCTTTTTAGCTGATAGGAAGCGTGCTGATACTGTCCTCTCCCTTCCCTTTTGCTTTCACGGGTTAAGTGTTTGTCTTATGCTTCAGAGTCTCTCTGCTGTGGTCATCACTTTCCCATTTCTGACATAGGTAGAATAATAGAAGGAAGGAGCTGTGGTGGTCTAGTGGGTAAGGCATTTGGCTGCTAACCATAAAGGTCAGCAGTTCAAACCCAGCAGCTGCTCCAAGAGAGGATGATGAGGCACACTACTTCCACAAAGATTTACAGCCTCGGAGACTCTATGGGAATTGCTGTGAGTTGCAGTCGACTCAAGGGCAGTGAGTTTCTGAGGTTTACAGGAGTAGATGAGAGGAGAGTGCTTCACTAAATGTAGGTAGCTGAGCCTGCACGGAAGGTTTAAAGCAGAGAGTCCACAAACTACAGCCGCAGGCCTAATCCAGCCCACCACTTACTGTTGTGAGTAAAGTTTTATTAGAACACAGCCACATCCATTTATGTATTATCTGCAGCTGCTTATATACCCCAATGGTAGCAATAAGTAGTTGTGACAGAGACTAGTTCCCAAAGCCTGAAAATAACTCTCTGGCCCTTCCCAAAAAATTTTCTGAGCCCTGATTTAATGTATAGACGTTGAGTCAGACAGACCTAGCCTCCATTTCAGGCTCCGACACTTACTAGCTATGTGATTTTAAGCCAGTTACCTCTCTGTGCCTCCATTTCCTCATTTGTAAAATGGAGGGAATCCTGGGCTTTACAAAGCCCAAGGAGGCAGTGCCTGCTGAGTACTTAGAACAGCATCAGGCACCCGGCACCTATTTGCCGGTCACTATTTGGGCAATCCTACTTCCGTAGTGATACTGCCTCGGAAACCCCAAGGAGAGGTCGCTATGAGTCGGGCTGACTTGACGGCAAATAACAACAACAACAACATTATCATGTGAACTCTGGTGGCGTAAGTGCCTAAGGCATTTGACTGCTAACCAGAAGGCTGGAGATTCAAACCCACCAACCACTCCTGGGAAGGAAGGTTGGGTAATCTACTTCCGTAGATATACCACCTCGGAAACCCAAGGGGGTTTGCTGAGTCAAATTGACTTGATGGCAGTGAATTTATTATTTTTTTTAATTATCATTGTTCTGTGATGGTAATGATTTCCTTAATCACTGTACCTTCTTCCCTGATACATGTGGAATGTTCACTAATAGGTTAAAGTGATTTGCTTCCCCAGTGGATGGGAGAAACAGTGGACCAGAGGGAGCCTCACCTGAAGCTTGGGTTTCTCTGTCCTTCTCCAGGTCTCACTTACCTTGACGACCTGCTGCCCAAACTGTGGGCATTTATCTGTGAGTTGGGGCCCCACGGGGGCCTGAAGCTCTTCCTGGAATGCCTGAACAATGACACCGCGGAGTCCAAGCAGCTCTTGGCCATGCTGATCCTGTTCTGTGACTGCTCCCGGCACCTCATCACGTGGGTCCACGGCTGTGGGGCTGGGCTTCTCTCCTGGAATTCGGGAAGGCCAGATTACGGTGTCTATAAGGAAACAGTTGCTGACATGGTGGCTGCATGCATTTGGACCTGTGTGGCAGGGTCATTATAACAATCAAATGAGAAAACATGTGCCAGGTGGCAGCATGTAGTGGCTATACAAGCAGTTGTTAGTTCCTGCCCTTTCAGGGACCTGGGTCAGTACCAGGTGTAGGCTGTGAGGTTTGCCAGAGCTGGGTTCAAATCATGGCTTGACCAGTTACTCAGTGAGTAATTTTCCAGAAAGTTCTGAAGTCAGACAGCCAAGGTCAACTCCTGGATCAGCTGCTTTACTGACTGTAACACCCTGGGCAAAGGGACAGGTGGCTCAACCTCTCTGAACCTCCTTTGACTGATCTGGAGGTGGGATACTCTCTGAACCTCCTTTGACTCATCTGGAGGTGGGATAACAGTAGCACCTATCTCTCAGGGATGTGGTAAGGATTCGAAGAGATGTTGCTTGCACAATGGTCAGCACAGTCCCTGGCACGTTGAAGAGCTCAGCGGTGTGGGCTGTCGCTTTTATCGTTGCTATTAAGCTGGCCTAGAGCGAGGCTGCTCAACTTCTCTGTGCTTCAGTGTCCTCGTTAGTATAATGGAGGTAACACTGATGGGGAGTAAATGAGAGGAGGATGTCAAGTACTCAGTACAATGCCTGGCACAGAGCAGGAAGTTAATACGTTACATATTTACTTAACTATTTAGTATTCTTTTAACTCCACTTCTTCCCAAAAGGTTAGTAAAGAATTATAAAGTAGAATGGACCTCACACAGCTATGTTCAGGCTAGAAAGCATTGGCAGGACGGGATCAGGGACCTGTAGGTGGCAGGGGAAGGGCTGAAGGGGCAGTTGGAGAGGAAAGAAGGGTCTTAATTTCTGGCGAAGGGTGTCCTGAGAGTGAGTCGTATTCTTAAGTGGATGGAACGGATTTATGAAGTTCTCAGACAGCTGTGTCTTAAACGGCTGAATACTTCACACAAACATTCACATGTTTCTTCACTCTCTCACAAATACTCATCAAGTACCTCCTGAATATTAGTAGCATTTGTCTTGGATGCAGGATAAACTTCCACAGCTTCCCATAGTAAATAGACTCCGATCAAGGCTTACCCAAGATTCCTTGGTGCTCAGGCATGAATAAGGTAGGAATCGAGGCCTGAATTAGGAAAGCACCACAGCCAGATTCTCTCAAAGATAGAGAGAGGAGAGCTTTTTTTCTTTTCCGCCTTATTTTTTTAACTTTTGACTTTGGAAAATTTCAGGTAAATAAAAGTTGAGAAGAGTAGTAATGAACCCTCATGTGCCCATCACCCAGCTTCAACAGTTCCTGGGTCATGACCAGTTCTGTTTCATCTACACCCCTACCCACTCCCAGCGAATTTGAGACAAATCCTAAATACACCATTTTATCTGTACATTTCACAATCAGTCGCTCCAAAAGACACTGAGAATAGAGCTGATGCCTTAGCCTCACTTATTTTGTCTAGTAAATGGTTGTTGTTATTTGCCATCAAGTCGGGCCCCACTCTTAGCGACCCTTCCTTGGATTTCCAAGGCAGTATCACTATGGAAGTAGATTCTCCAACCGTCCTTCCAAGAAGTGGCTGGTGGGTTTGAACCACCAGCCTTCTATTTGGCAGTTAAGTACCTTAGGCACTATGCTACAGGTCTCTTTTTTTCTTCTCCTTTTCTCAGCAGGACTTCCTAAATAACTTTCTGTCTGATTTAGGATTCTTGATGACATTGAAGTTTATGAAGAACAAATTTCATTCAAACTTGAAGAACTGGTCACCATCTCCTCATTTCTGAATTCCTTTGTGTTTAAGATGATCTGGGATGGAATTGTAGGTAAGGTCATGGAGTTAGCCATCATCTGACATATTGCACTCATAGAAACTGTAAAGAGCCTGAAACAGCAACTGATTCTTAACTTTATTGTCTGTCAAGTTAATTAGAAACATAGATTTATTCACGTACTTGGAGCTTTTCTTTCTTCACACTCTGTGACCACACAAGATGATAGTAAGGTGATACAAGTCTCCCCAGCGTGCTTCAGGATTTGCATGTTGTGTCAGGATTATTAATGAAGATTAGTTTTGCCCTGTATCTCTGTCCTTTTGATTCATTGAGTTGATTTCCATGACGATCAAATGTGTGCTGGTTCACACTTCAAATTAGGTGTTTCCAGTTCAATGAAAAGTTCTTTCACTTACACAGGTCCTTTGGATGACATACTGGTGGGAGGCAGCAGGAACGGTTATGTCTAAGTGATGCTCAAGGCCAGCAGCCATTTGGAACGTTCATTGGGTGTTGTTTAATTCCTTTCGTTACATGTAAAATCCCAAGGGAGGGAGATTGCGGACTCGGTGGTGACCAGAGGAGACAAGAGGCTGTCCTCCCCTCCTCTTTAGTTCTGATCTCCTCGGCCCTGAGCATGACTCACCCGTTTGTGTGTCCTACAGAAAACGCCAAGGGCGAAACCTTGGAGCTGTTCCAATCCGTCCATGGGTGGCTGATGGTCCTCTACGAGCGAGACTGCCGGCGGCGCTTCGCCCCTGAGGATCACTGGCTGCGAAAGTGAGAGCCAGGGCTGGGGAAGGCCTTGGTGGGAGCCAGGGTGCACGCTGCTGTCCACTGCCAGCCGCAGAGCTCGAGGTCTCAGCGCTCAGGTTCTAGGGCAGAGAGTGTTCCCTCTCCTTCACCCTGTCCTTTGTCTACATGAAAAGAACCACTGTTCCTACTAAGCGCTGTTGCACAGTTCACTTAGCAGCCGCTCCTGTTACGAGACGCTTAATGCTGAATATGATGAGAGTTAATTAATGGTGACAAAGCCAGATCACATTTAGCAAATGTTTCTTGTCCAAACTGGGACGGAAAGTTCTTTCAGCTCTGCTGAGCAGCAGGATGGGATAGTTAAATGTCAGTTTATCAACAGAATTACCAGAAGGAAAGCTGCAGCTAGGTGTTTGAGGGGGAGGGGAAACCCGCCTGCAACAAATGCTGTCCTTCCGCAGAATGATAGCATTTGTGGCGATGATGTGTCAGCTCCTGGGTTACTCCTGAAGCCGTGGCACTAGAGCAGGGATCAGCAGACGTTTTCTGTAAAAGACCAGATTATGAGTATTTCAGGCTTTGTAGGTCCATTTTACAACTAGTCAGTTCTGCTGTTGTAGTCCGAAAGCAGCCACAGACAACACACGTGCAGATGAGTGTGGCTGTGTTCCATTAAAACTTCATTTACCAAGACAGGCTGCAGGCTGGATTGGGCCCACAGTCTGGAGTTTGCCAGCCCTCTGCTTAGAGAATGGTTTTCTTGCTTTAACTGTCTCAGACCCATGTCCTCTCTTCTTAAGAGATCTCAAGCCCAGTGTGCTCTTCCAAGAACTGGACAAGGACAGAAAGCGGGCCCAGCTGATCCTGCAGTATATCCCTCACGTCATTCCTCACAAAAACGTGAGTTGTAGATAGAGCGTTGTCTTAAATGGTTCACTGGTTCACACATCCATTCAGTTGGTTATTCATTCACTCACAGATATTCAGCAAGTCCCTACTAAGTGTCAGTATTGTCTGTCTACTCTATACCTTTTCCTCAGTAAACACAGATTCCTTGTTAAGACTTAGCATGATTCCTCGATGCTTAGGTATGAACGAGATACAGATTTAGGACTAAGTTAAGAAAGGTTCGCAGTCTGATCCTTACGAATAAGAGAAATGAAGAGTAGAGCTTGTTTGTGTTTCTTTCTGTTCTACTACAACGGTCTTGACTTTGTATCTTTGTTATAAAAAAAAAATCAAACCCAGTGCCGTTGAGCTGATTCAGTTCTAACTTGTGGTGACCCCGTGAGTTCGAGAGGAGAATGGTGCTCCGTAGGGTTTTCTTGGCTGTATTGTTGGTGGGCGCAGATGGCCCGGTCTTCTCTGGCACCACTGGGTGTGTTTAAATCATCAGTCCAGGTTAGTAGTTGAGTGCAAACTGCTGGTGCCACCCAGGGAGGACCCTATCTTTGTTTTAGCAATTGGCAGTGAACACATGACATCATCCACTTGGCAAGCAGTGATTGGCTCGTGCTCTATGCCAGATGTGATGCTAAGTACTGGGGCCCAGAGACAAATCAGTGTGAGCTGGCAGTTCTGGGAGTGGGCCAGATGCTGTAGGAGCACAGGTAGGGACCTGACCTTTCTCCCATGGAGCAGATGGTGGGTTCAAACCACCATCCTTTCAGATAGCAGTGAAGCCCTTAACTGCTGCACCACCAGTGCTCCTTGAGAGTAGAAAAAGGTGATAAAAATCAAGCAGTTCTTAGGGAGGTAGCACCTACAGGCCTTGAAGAATGATGACAAAGAGAAGGAAAGGAGGCATTTGGATGGTACCCAGCTTTGTGGCTTGGGCACCGATAGTTGAAGGAGCCATTCCCTGGTGGTGAGTTCAGCTTAGACCAAGGAGGATGTGAGCTGTCTGTTGTTCCATTGGACACATGGGTCTGGGGCTCAGGAGGGAATGCTGGACAACAGATAGATTCTATGGGAAGGCAGAACCTAGTCCTTGTAGCTGCAGCCGTGGATGTGGGTGGTTAGGGAGCTAGAGGGAGGGAGGAGACAAGGAGCTTGAGGCCAGAACCCCTCAGGACCCATCATTTACAGGACCAGCCTAGGAAGAGAGGGAGTAATGAGGGACAGGAGGAAAACCTGAGCATGTGGTATCACAGACATGAGGGACCTTAGAAGGTCAGGTTGTATGGGAGGAGCGTCCAGGAAGTGACAGAAAGCCTGGTTCTCACCCTGGAGAGTAGTGGGCACTCGTGAATGTCCATTGGATGGCGTGACGATACTGTGGTCCTCTCAGAGGGGGCTCCTTAGGGTCTTGTTATTATAGATTCCAACTGATAGTGATCTTGTGTGCAACAGAACGAAACACTGCCTGGTCCTGTGCCCTCCTCGCAGTCCTTGCTTTGCTTGACCCATCGTTGCAGCCACCGTGTCAGTCCATGTCACTAAGGGTCTTCCCCTTTTTTCTGACCCTCCACTTTACTAAGCACTTCCTTAGGGTCTAGATACGCTGTCTTGATTTCTTTGACAAAATGAGAAGAATGTATATTGTGCTGCTGTTGGGTGAAGTGCTCTATAGATGTCTATAAGGCCAAGTTGGTGGATTGTATTGTTTAGCTCTTCTGCATCT